ATTAGGAGCAGGAACATCTCCTTGTAAACTATATTTTCCTGATGCAAGTCATTTCTCGTGAGCTTAGAAGGGCACTTCTTCATGGATTATGTTCTCCTAACTTTGAAAGAAAATTGGGATTGTTGAACTGATACTTCGCGAATTGGGGGCAGAAACATCTCCTTGTACATTCTATTTTCCTGATGCGAAAGTCATTTCTCGTGAGCTTAGAAAAACACTTCTTCATGGATTATGTTCTCCTAACTTTGAGAGAAAATTGGGATTTTTGAACTGATACTTCGCGAATTAGGGGCAGAAACATCTCCTTGTACATTCTATTTTCCTGATGCAACACGCCATTTCTCGTGAGTTTAGAAAAACACTTCTTCATGGATTATGTTCTCCTAACTTTGAGAGAAAATTGGGATTTTTGAATAGGTATTTCGCGAATTAGAAGCAGGAAACATCTCCTTGTACATTCTATGTTCCTGATGCAAAGCCATTTCTCGTGAGCTTAGAAGAACACTTCTTCATGGATTATGTTCTCCTAACTTTGAGAGAAAATTGGGATTTTTGGACCGATACTTCGCGAATTAGGGGCAGAAACATCTCCTTGTACATTCTGTTTTCCTGATGCAAAGGTCATTTCTCGTGAGCTTAGAAGAACACTTCTTCATGGATTATGATCTCCTAACTATGAGAGAAAATTGGGATTTTTGAATAGGTATTTCGCGAATTAGGGGCAGAAACATCTCCTTGTACATTCTATTTTCCTGATGCAACAGTTATTTCTCGTGAGCTTAGAAGAACACTTCTTCATGGATTATGTTCTCCTAACTTTGAGAGAAAATTGGGATTTTTGAAGAGGTATTTCGCGAATTAGGAGCAGGAACATCTCCTTGTAAACTATATTTTCCTGATGCAAGTCATTTCTCGTGAGCTTAGAAGGGCACTTCTTCATGGATTATGTTCTCCTAACTTTGAAAGAAAATTGGGATTGTTGAACTGATACTTCGCGAATTGGGGGCAGAAACATCTCCTTGTACATTCTATTTTCCTGATGCGAAAGTCATTTCTCGTGAGCTTAGAAAAACACTTCTTCATGGATTATGTTCTCCTAACTTTGAGAGAAAATTGGGATTTTTGAACTAATACTTCGCGAATTAGGGGCAGAAACATCTCCTTGTACATTCTATTTTCCTGATGCAACAGTTATTTCTCGTGAGCTTAGAAGAACACTTCTTCATGGATTATGTTCTCCTAACTTTGAGAGAAAATTGGGATTTTTGAATAGGTATTTCGCGAATTAGGAGCAAAAACATCTCCTTGTACATTCTATTTTCATGATGCGAAAGTCATTTCTCGTGAGCTTAGAAGAACACTTCTCCATGGATTATGTTCTCCCAACTTTGAGAGAAAATTGGGATTTTTAAATAGGTATTTCGCGAATTAGAAGCAGGAACATCTCCTTGTAAATTCTATGTTCCTGATGCAAAAGCCATTTCTCGTGAGCTTAGAAGAACACTTCTTCATGGATTATGTTCTCCTAACTTTGAGAGAAAATTGGGATTTTTGGACCGATACTTCGCGAATTAGGGGCAGAAACATCTCCTTGTACATCCTATTTTCATGATGCGAAAGTCATTTCTCGTGAGCTTAGAAGAACACTTCTCCATGGATTATGTTCTCCCAACTTTGAGAGAAAATTGGGATTTTTGAACTGATACTTCGCGAATTAGGGGCAGAAACATCTCCTTGTACATTCTGTTTTCCTGATGCAAAGGTCATTTCTCGTGAGCTTAGAAGAACACTTCTTCATGGATTATGTTCTCCTAACTATGAGAGAAAATTGGGATTTTTGAAGAGGTATTTCGCGAATTAGGAGCAGAAACATCTCCTTGTACCTGTTTTCCTGATGCAAAGGTCATTTCTCGTGAGCTAGAAGAACACTTCTTCATGGATTATGTTCTCCTAACTATGAGAGAAAATTGGGATTTTTGAAGAGGTATTTCGCGAATTAGGAGCAGGAACATCTCCTTGTACATTCTGTTTTCCTGAAGCAAAGGTCATTTCTCGTGAGCTTAGAAGAACACTTCTTCATGGATTATGTTCTCCTAACTTTGAGAGAAAATTGGGATTTTTGAATAGGTATTTCGCGAATTAGGAGCAAAAACATCTCCTTGTACATTCTATTTTCCTGATGCGAAAGTCATTTCTCGTGAGCTTTGAAAAATAGTTCTTCATGGATTATGTTCTCCTAACTTTGAGAGAAAATTGGGATTTTTGAAGAGGTATTTCGCGAATTAGGAGCAGGAACATCTCCTTGTAAACTATATTTTCCTGATGCAAGTCATTTCTCGTGAGCTTAGAAGGGCACTTCTTCATGGATTATGTTCTCCTAACTTTGAAAGAAAATTGGGATTGTTGAACTGATACTTCGCGAATTAGGGGCAGATACATCTCCTTGTACATTCTATTTTCCTGATGCAAACGCCATTTCTCGTGAGCTTAGAAAAACACTTCTTCATGGATTATGTTCTCCTAACTTTGAGAGAAAATTGGGATTTTTGAACTGATACTTCGCGAATTAGGGGCAGAAACATCTCCTTGTACATTCTATTTTCCTGATGCAACAGTTATTTCTCGTGAGCTTAGAAGAACACTTCTTCATGGATTATGTTCTCCTAACTATGAGAGAAAATTGGGATTTTTGAATAGGTATTTCGCGAATTAGGAGCAAAAACATCTCCTTGTACATTCTATTTTCCTGATGCAAAGTCATTTCTCGTGAGCTTAGAAGAACACTTCTTCATGGATTATGTTCTCCTAACTTTGAGAGAAAATTGGGATTTTTGAAGATATTTCGCGAATTAGGAGCAAAACATCTCCTTGTACATTCTATTTTCCTGACTTAGAAAAACACTTCTTCATGGATTCTGTTCTCCTAACTTTGAGAGAAAATTGGGATTTTTGAAGAGGTATTTCGCGAATTAGGAGCAGAAACATCTCCTTGTACATTCTGTTTTCCTGATGCAAAGGTCATTTCTCGTGAGCTTAGAAGAACACTTCTTCATGGATTATGTTCTCCTAACTTTGAGAGAAAATTGGGATTTTTGAATAGGTATTTCGCGAATTAGGAGCAAAAACATCTCCTTGTACATTCTATTTTCTGATGCGAAAGTCATTTCTCGTGAGCTTTGAAAAACACTTCTTCATGGATTATGTTCTCCTAACTTTGAGAGAAAATTGGGATTTTTGAAGAGGTATTTCGCGAATTAGGAGCAGGAACATCTCCTTGTAAACTATATTTTCCTGATGCAAGTCATTTCTCGTGAGCTTAGAAGGGCACTTCTTCATGGATTATGTTCTCCTAACTTTGAAAGAAAATTGGGATTGTTGAACTGATACTTCGCGAATTAGGGGCAGAAACATCTCCTTGTACATTCTATTTTCCTGATGCAAACGCCATTTCTCGTGAGCTTAGAAGAACACTTCTTCATGGATTATGTTCTCCTAACTTTGAGAGAAAATTGGGATTTTTGAACTGATACTTCGCGAATTAGGGGCAGAAACATCTCCTTGTACATTCTATTTTCCTGATGCAAACGCCATTTCTCGTGAGCTTAGAAAAACACTTCTTCATGGATTATGTTCTCCTAACTTTGAGAGAAAATTGGGATTTTTGAACTGATACTTCGCGAATTAGGGGCAGAAACATCTCCTTGTACATTCTATTTTCCTGATGCGAAAGTCATTTCTCGTGAGCTTAGAAGAACACTTCTTCATGGATTATGTTCTCCTAACTTTGACAGAAAATTGGGATTTTTGAAAAGATATTTCGCAAATTAGGAGCAGAAGCATTTCTCGTCCATTCTGTTCTCCAGATAAAAAGGTTTTTCCTTGAGCTTACTTCATCATTCTATTCTCCTGGTAACTAGACTATTTGCAAGAAAGATATACCACTTGAATTAGGCTCAGAAACACCTCCTGGTACATTATATTTTCCTGATGCAAAAGTCAGAAACATCCGTCCGTCGATAAGTACCACCGCCGTCGAAACACCTAGTCCGCCGAAACGCCTCGTTCGCTGAAACGTGACGTCGACCGAGACGTCTCGCTGCCGGAACTCACATCTTCTGGAAACTTTCCTTGTTCTTGATAACACTGAACTTTCCGACAAAATCTGGCTTGTAGAATGAAATGAACAAATTTTCGGTGACTGTTCGGACGGCAAAAACTTTTCTGAACCAACTGCGTGTTCCACAAAACAAATCGGGCTGACTGCCCGTAAATTTAGAGTACACACATTTACACGCTCTTTTTACCGTCGCGAAGACACAGCAGCAACATTTTCTCGTTGTCTCCAGTATTTAAGGAAACACCACTTCCACCATACAGTAAACTGCTTCAGAATTTCCAAATGAATCGCCAATCACAATTAGACTTGATAACGCCAATTTCGAAGGAACGCGTCTCTGCTTACGCCAAAATAACACGTACACCTTAAACCAACTGCATCTCTTAACAGCGACAATAACACGTGCGTTAATTAAATTTCGCCTAATAAAATCCAAACTATGCAATTACAAACAATTCCAAAATAAAAAAACAGCAGTGAGATAACAAATTCAAATAAAACAAACCAACTTTGTGCTTATCGTAAATAAGCCGAGTGGAGGAACTAGAGAAAAACAACCCAGATGGATAACGGACAGGTCGCTTATTCCCTAGTGACGAAGGTGCTGACGAACCAGTTGCAGTACACAAGCTAGGATGTGGATTTGATGGTCTCGATTGGCGGAAAGTCCGTGATCTTGCGCGAGATCGGTGGTGTGCAAGGTGTTCGACTTATCCGAGTTCAGTGGACCGTTTCTTCCCCGTCGTTTTCTTCATGATCCTCGGCCCGATATCTTGGAGTTTCGGGACGAAACAGGTTCTAAGGAGGGGGCAGTGTAACGATCGAGTGAGTTGACAAGCGGTGTCTTATAACGATTTGAGTGTTATAATTATATTTGTCCAAGTTTGGTTGTGTGTTTTTTAATAAAAATATAATTACGTATATTGTGCCGTTGGCGGCAATAAATAAATTAATACAAAAATATGTGGCAGTCTTTGATATTTTGAACTAGGAGTCGGTGCAAGTTATGCTAGGGCGACGAGTTCCGTGCCTGGCTTTTGGACACTGAAATAGCTCTCTATTTCTGATAGCGTTCTTCCTTTCGTTTCGGGTAAGCATAGCATCACGAAGATTGTTCCGATCGCGGACATTGCGGCGTAAAAAATAAACAGGGGGTAGATTCCCATTACGCTTAGCATGTCGGGGTAGATTTTCACCATTACGAAACAGCAGATGTATCCCATACTCGACACCATTCCGGTTGCGAGTCCTCGAATTGTGGATGGAAATACCTCGGCGGACATGGCGAAGGGGATGGTGAGAAAGCCTAAGGTTGCGGTGAAGAAGTAAGCCATTAGCAGGGTTAGTGGCAGCCAGTCGTGGTGGTCGATTATTTTCCGCTGAACGCAGGCTACGTAAGCGGAAAGCATCACCATGCACAGAGTCATGCCGACCCCAGAAGTGATGGAGAGGGGGCGGCGTCCAAGTCGTCGGCTTGCGACGCTTACGATTACAGAAGCTACGCTCCGTGTGGCAGCGATTATGACAATGGCTAAATACGGGTCTATACTTATTTGTGCTTCATTTACTATGTCGATTGCGTAGAAGACGATCACGAAAGTGCCAGACACCTGTTGAAATACAAAAAACGCCGACATTAAAATAAACGGTCTATAAATCGCAGGTTCAGCAAAATATCTCAACTGGTGGTCAGCTTTTGTTCTTCGCGTGTCGCAGGTTAAAGTTTCAATTTCTTCGCGTATTTCCAGAGGGTGGCTTTTCGAGTTGAATAAGCGAAGGAGACTGGCTTTGGCGTCCTCGTGCCGATTCTTCGTGATCAACCAAGATGGCGACTCGACCATGTAGATCATCACCATAACTACGTTCGCGCATGGAAACGCCCCAGATAACGCCGCGATCATTCCCCAGTTACTCTGCAACTGAAGATCAGGGATGATAACCACAAGAGCAATGTCATACCGTCATTGTCCATCCGAGTATGTAAATTACGACGACACCAAGTGAGAAACAAAGAGCGTTCCAAGTGATGAGCATTCCTCTCAGTTTTGCTGTGGATATTTCCGCCATGTACACTGTAGCCGGCATGCTGGATAAGCCCGTAGAAAGTCCGGTGAAAAATCTTCCAACTAGCAGAAGACGGTACTGGTGACCTGGCGAATAGTAGGCGAAGGTGATGGCGGTCCATCCCAAAAGACAAAAGACATTAACGCTCTGTATTGCCGGCTTGCGACCAAATCTATCCGAGATCGGCCCCGACAGGAAGCAACCCAGCGGAGCCGCTACGGAAGCGATGCTAGCTAAAGAGGCCAATAGTTTGAGTGTTAAAACCAGGGGGCACACTCACCGAACCAGGACGCTTCGTCCTCCGTGAGGCGGTGAGGGTTGCTGGCGTCCAAGAGGTAAGGAAGAGCAACGGCGGAAAACCCCAAGCTCATGCTGGGCGACAAACTCGAGAAATTTACGATTAATCCAAGAAGTATCTGAAAGCTTCATTGGGTCAAAATGTCAAAGTGAGCACATTACCTGCACAAACGTTGACCTCTGCGTAACGTTCCTTTGTTTTTGAATGTCCATGTCGGTAGCTTATCTAACCGTGACGCACAATCTTCGTAATGCATCTAACACGGAAGCCTGGTTTATTATGAGATTAGTTCGAAAGTTTTATTCTAATCACTGCAACGTGACCATTACGCATGCTTTAACTGAGTCACTTTATGAATCGATTAAATTGATAGAGGTTTGAAGGTAAACATAGAATTTTTCCCTAATCCCACTCCCACGAGGTGCAGTGTCTGTAGTCATTACCTGTTTTTTTTACTATTTTATTCACTAATTACTTAATTATAAATAGCTATTGTGATAGACCGAACATCGTTCGTCAGGAACATCGACTAGGGAGGAGGAGGAGGCTCCTTTCTGCAATTAGTACCACTCCCAAAGAGAGTCAATCTTCCCTTGGGGTGAAGACCAGAAGTCCATCTTCCATTGGGGTGAAGACCAGAAAGAGTCTTTTATGCTTTGATAAAAGGTCCATAAAATGCAATTTTATGGCATAACGTGTTCAAAATGAATGAATTCAAGGTCCTTTTTACGCGCTAATTAAAAATAACTCGTAAACTCGCTTACACAGAATCTCGTGATGAGTTTTTTTAACGCCAGGTGTTACACGGACTGTCTCAAAAGTATGAATCACCCAGGTTTACGAGAATAGTCTCCTTTTCACAGCAGAAAAGATCTTTCGGCACATATTTGGCAAAATGGAGAGGGGAAAGTAACTGAAGAAACAGAAAACCTACAAAGCCTGAGGAGACCAAAGTGGTTGAACCAGAAGAAAGAAGACCAGGTGACCGAAGAACAGCCGAACAAACAGAAAAAGTCACAACAACTGAAAAGCGAAGGAGCATAAGAAAGGAGAGTCTGGAAAACCGAATCAGGTGGAGTACTTGCATGAAGACGGAAAATGGGAAGAAGTTAAAAATAGTGTGCAAAAGCTGTTGGAACAGAAGAAACTTAAGTACCTAATCAAAAAAGCAAAACTAAACAATTCGAAGGAACCGAAAATGCCAAACAGGTAAAAGGAAGTCGAGGAAATTTAGAAGTCACATGATACGAAGAACCAAGAATATCGAAGATATCAAAGAAATCGAAGGAAGCAGTCCAAAATCCAGAAAAGCTGAAGAATCAGGAAATGGGTCCGATAAAGTAGAAGAAACTATGAATGAAACAGACGCCGATATAACAAAAAAAAGCAAAGAAGAACAAAAGGGTCTTTTCTAAACTCAAGAGAAACGATTCAATTCTTTTATATCAGCAAATAATGTAGGAGGAGGTGGTTTGCTCCTAATTCATGAAGCATCTATTAGAAAAGTGTTGTAAATTTTCTCTGGTTGGCGGGAGATCTTTTTGTAAACTGAAAAGTCACTGTCATTATCAGGAAAATAATATGTACAGCAAGGTTTTTCTGCTTCTAATTCACGTAGTATCTTTCTTCCAAATTTTATCGGGTTACCAGGAGAATAGAATCATGAGGAGGTCTCTTTCTAAGTTTCTGTCTAAAATAACGGCATAAATAAATAAAATAAATAAATCCAAATTTTCTCTTACAGTTAGGGGAACATAATCAATGAGGAAGTCCTTTCTAAGCTTTCGACAAACCACTAATCACGAAATCACCTAATTCGCGAAATGTCTGTTCAAAAATCCCAATTTTCTCTCAAAATTAGGAGAACATAATCCACGCACAAGTATTTTTCGAAGCTCACGAGAAACTACTTTTGCATCAGGAAAATAAATGTATAAGGAGGTGTTTCTGCCCCTAATTCGCAAAATAATGTCGGCATTATGGCTCAATGGTAGAGCGTTGAGTTATAAATCCGGAGGTCGGGTGTTCGAACCTGGGTTGAGGTGAATTTTTCATCTGTGGCAGAGATGGAAATTACCTTAGACCAGTTTCGAGCATTCTGCCGGCTACTCCGAATTAGGTTTTCCTGCAGTTTTCCTAATTCGTAAGGTAAATACAGGAGTGGTATAAAACAACTTAAAACCGTCTGCTGAGGCACCTCTAACAAGCATTATGCGGGTCACTCTGTAATTGGGCGCAAGCCTGTTGAGGACCCAGAACAAGAGAGGGATAATAAATAAATAAATAAATAAAATAAAAATATCCGTTCAAAAATCCAAGGTTTCTCTCGCAATTAGGAGAACATAATCTATGAAGAAGTCTTTGTCTAAGCCCACAAGAAATGACTTTCGCATCAGGAAAATATAATGTACCGGAGATGTTTCTGGTCCTAATTCGCGAAAAATCTGTTCAAAAATTCAAATTTTCTCTCACATTTAGGAAATCATCACTCATTATGAAGTCTTTTTCTAAGCGCACCAAAAATGTATAAGGAGGTGTTTCTGCTCCTAATTCGCGAAAAATCTGTTCAGAAATCCAAATTTTCTCTCAAAGTTAGGAGAACATAATCCATAAAGAAAGTGTTCTTCTAAACTCACGGGAAATGACTTTTGCATCAGGAAAATAGAATGTACAAGGAGATGTTTCTGGCCTTAATTCGCGAAATATCTGTTCAAAAATCAGAATTTTCTTTCAAAGTTAGGAGAACATAATCCATGAAGAGATGTTCTCTTAAGCTCACGAGAAATGACTTTTCATTTGGGAAATAGAATGTACCAGGAGATGTTTCTGGTCCTAATTCGCGAAAAATCAGTTCAAAAATCCCAATTTTCTCTCAAAGTGGAAGAACATAATTCATGAAGAAGTGTTTTTCTAAGCTCACGAGAAATGACTTTTTCATCAGGAAAATAGAATGTACAAGGAGATGATTCTGCACCTAATTCGCAAAATAACTTTTCAAAAATCCCAATTTTCTCGCAAAGTTAGGAGAACATAATCCATGAAGAAGGTGTTCTTCTAAGCTCACGAGAAATGACTTTTGCATCAGGAAAATAGAATGTACAAGGAGATCTTTCTGCTCCTAATTCGCGAATAACTGTTCAAAAATACAAATTTTCTCTCACAGTTAGGAGAACATGATCCATGAAGAAGTGTTCTACTAAGATCACGAGAAATGACTTTTGCATCAGGAAAATATAATGTACCAGGAGGTGTTTCCGCTCCTAATTCAAGTGGTATATCTTTCTTGCAATTTTTCTCTAGTTACCAGGAGAATAGAATGATGAAGTAAGCTCAAGGAAAAACACTTTATATCAGGAGAACAGAATGGACGAGAAATGCTTCTGCTCCTAATTCGCGAAATATCTGTTCAAAAATCCCAATTTTCTCTCACAGTTAGGAGAACATAATCCATGAAGAAGTGTTTTTTTAAGCTTACGAGAAATGACTTTTGCGTCAGGAAACTATAATGTACCAGGAGGTGTTTCCGCTCCTAATTCAAGTGGTATATCTTTCTTGCAATTTTTCTGTAGTTACCAGGAGAATAGAATGATGAAGTAAGCTCAAGGAAAAACACTTTTTGTCAGGAGAACAGAATGGACGAGAAATGCTTCTGCTCCTAATTCGCGAAATATCTGTTCAAAAATCCCAATTTTCTCTCACAGTTAGGAGAACATAATCCATGAAGAAGTGTTTTTCTAAGCTCACGAGAAATGACTTTTGCATCAGGAAACTATAATGTACCAGGAGGTGGTGTTTCTGCTCCTAATTCAAGTGGTATATCTTTCTAGCAAATTTTCTCTATAGTTACCAGGAGAATAGAATGACGAAGTAAGCTCAAGGAAAAAACGTTTTATCAGGAGAACAGAATAGACGAGAAATACTTCTGCTCCTAATTCGCGAAATATCTGTTCAGAAATCCAAATTTTCTCTCAAAGTTAGGAGAACATAATCCATGAAGAAGTGTTTTTCTAAGCTCACGAGAAATGACTTGCATCAGGAAAATAGAATTTTCAAGGAGATGTTTCCGCTCCTAATTCCAAATCTTATTTCACAGTTAAGACACAAACAACGAAGAAGTCTTTTTCTAAGCTCATGCGAAATGGCTTTCGGATCAGGAAAATATAATGTACCAGGAGATGATTCTGCCCCTAATTCGCGAAATATCTGTTCGAAAATCCATTTTTTCTCTCACAGTTGGAAGGACATAATACGAGAATATGAGTTTCCGCTCGTAATTGAAGGCGTACCTCCTGAAAGAATTTTGTAAATTTTCTATGGCATCCAGGAAAACAAAATTCATTCGTTTGTGCTCAAGGAAAATGTTCCAATATTTTATTTTTGTTAAAACTTTCTTCCTATCCAAAATTGTTTGTAAATATTGTCTGACTACCAGGAGAACATAATGAAGTGGGGGTTGTTTCCTAAAATCTTTTAATTTTCGTTTACTCTTTCGTATAGGATTATATAATATACGAGGAGAAGTTTCTGCTCGTAATTTATTCAGCGTATGTTAAGGAATATTGTTATTTTCTTTAGCTATCAGGAGTACATAATCCATGCGATCTGAAGTTTCAAGAAAAAATATTCGACTCTTTGTATCAGGAGAATTTAGCGCGCGAAGAGGCGTTTCCTGCTCCTAATTCACGGAATTCCTAAGCTGATTAGAAATCCTCTAGTTCATTTAAGAGGGGAGGAGCCGGTGCCCTCCTTATTTCACGGAGTGCTTGTTATAAAACCTCTGTAAGTTGTCTTTGGCTACCAGGAGCACATAGCCCAGAGGAGGTCTTTTACTAATTTCAAAGAAAAGCTGCTGCTTCTGATTCTGCTCCGAATTCATGAAGCTCAAAGGAAATATTTCTGTAAGTACTGTGTTTTGGTTTAGATCTTTGTATCAAGAATACATGAGGCGCGAGGAGATGTTTCTGCCTTACATCACGGAATATTTCTTAAAAAGTGTTCCTACCAGATAGGAAAACGCAATCGATGAGAAGGTCATTTTCTAATCTCAAGAAAAAATGCTCCTGTTTTTTTCTAACAAACAGGATGACATAATCCTTGAGAAGGTCTTTTTTCATGCGCAAGAAAAGTGTTCTAATCACTTTATTTTCATTTAAACTTTTGCATCAGAAGAGCGCGGGAAGAGGTATTTCAGTATTTGGTACAATAGCGTTGTAATTTTTCAGAAAAACGTAATTTATGGGTGGGGGGGGGGTTCTTTCCCCACCCAAGTGACCCAGAGATCATTATGCATGACGAGGTTTTTTT